TATGATCGCTTGAGAGATGCTATCTCCCGCTATCTGTTTTTCGTTTATCCACACCAATAAGAGTCTCTCAACAACTTCTATCACTTGCGATCTCTGTTTCGAAAACACAGTTGAACCTTTGGCAAGAACAGCTTCCTTGATTGCCATTTTCTTGGACACAATAGTAGCGATGGTTGATTGGGGTTTACTATACAACCTGGCCAGCTCGGAGACACGTACTCCACTTTCATACTTAGCAATGATCTCTTTCTTCATCTCTCTAGTAATTCTCACCCTTATTCCTGTAGAATTGGCACTAGAAGCTTTCTTGGGGCCCATGGTCACTTATTTTGCAGATGAAATCACCAAAAATGCTGTAATAATACGAAATGTTCCAATTGTATGCTTGGACGTTACCGTGGAGGCTGGCTGGTAAACAATGCCACTGGCGGAACATGTGAGGCTGGCTCAGGCCGCACATTAGACGTGTCTCGGACGAATAGCGTTGAGCAAGTTTTTTAGCGGTATGCGAGGCAAAATTTTAGCGAAAAAATGTATCGGTATGCGGATTTAACGTTATGTGATGCCAATGGTATGTGAAGGTCCACTGTATTTATCCAGCACAAATTTGAAACTACCCAAGGTTTTAGCCTCAATAACCATACTAGGCAGACTGTGATGAATGGTTTTGAAAACCGACAAGTTTAAGATTGAGACACTTATGCAACATACTAGGCAGATTGTTCCACTCATCAACATAAGAATGGAGGAACACTGCAGCAGGTCTGTTGGCCTATACTTGGCAGGTCCTTCACAAATCCAGCCCACTAACAGAATAAACACTACCCAAGCAATAAGCTTGAATAATTCTATTTACTCACGTTCATGTTCCACTCAAATCCAACCCCTCTTACTCATGTATTTATCCAACCTAAATTTGAAACTACCCAAGGTTTTACCTTCGATAGAAGCCTGGGTAGCTTTAAAAAGAGATTGGACAAATATATGAGTGGGAGGGGCTGGGTATGACTGGTGTCGTGAGTACATAACGTAAGACAGGAGGAATGCTGCAGTAGGACTGTTGGCCCATACTAGGTAGGTCCTTCACAGATCCAGCCCACTAACAGAAGAAACACACCCAGGCAATAAGCGTTGACAATTCTATTTACTCATCTTGACTGTGTGCTAATGGAGTTACAGGAAGGTGATATCAAAGAAATGCTGAACACTGACAATGATGCACCTGTTGTGCATTCCTTGAGTGATGGTGAAATTAGATGAAATGTGATACATAAATAAGCCGTAGAGTTTATATTAGCATCATACTGAAGTATTTTGTCGTGCCTCCTAAGAGCAGGAATTCCGCTGGAACAGATTAATGCCATTTCAATTAATGTAAATGAGGAAAATTGACTCGGCATACGAACAAATCGGGATACGAACAAGGCCACGGAACATTAAATTCACAAGTCGAGGTTCCACTGCATTTTATATTGTAAGGTTTAGGATAAACACTGTGTACAACACAAACAGTTGTTTATTTCCCAGAAATTTGGCATACAAAACACGGTCGTAAGTTGAGTGGTCGTATGTCGAGCAGGTCGTAAGTCGGATGGTAGGTGTACATTATTCCTTATGGGAAATATTGCTTCCCCTTTCAGCCGTTTCGAGTTTGGGCCTAGCTCCTGGAATGGATTAGGGCCAAAACTCAGAGTTCCACTGTATATTTATACACCCTCCATCCTCTCTAAATGGCCAAACTACCTCAACAACCCCTCATCAGCTCTCTGGATAATACATTTAGTAACTCCGCACCTCCTCCTAATCTCCAAACTACAAATCCACTGCATCAAAGTCACACCACACATTACCCTCAGGCATGACATCTCTCCCCCCAACCACCTCCTCACTGCAACAGCCACAACTCAAGCTTTATACCCATATTAGGTGCGTTGGTACCACTATACTTTCATCCATTCCTCTCTTTGCCTCCATGGTTAACATTCTTTGTCTCCACATATACCTCAATGCACCACCCACCTTTTTCCCTTCATCAGTTCAACAGTTCACCTCGTCTTCCCTATACCCATCAGTTGACAGGTCCAATCCCAAATATCTGAACACATTCACTTCCTCCATACTCTCTCCCTTCAATCTGATATCCAATCTTTCATTACCTAACTCATTTGTTACCCTCATCACCTTACTCTTATCTATGTTCACTCTTAACTTCCTTTACACACCCTCCAAAATTCATCCACTAACCAAATTCAAATTCAAATTTATTTATTTCTTTGCAAGTAGTACATTGAGATTATGTATTTACAATAATGGGTTGCAATGGTAAGAGAGCCTTTGCAATTTATCTTCAGAATCATGAAAAAGCACAGTATCATCAGCAAAAAGTAACTGTGCCAACTCCCACTGTATACTAGATTCAACATACTTTAATCCTACCCCGTCTCCCCAAAATAAATACATGTATGTTAAACAACCACGGCGACATCACACATCCTTGTCTAAGACGTACTTTTGTTGGAAAGTATGTAATCTCCCTCTCTCCTACACACCCTAACCTGAGCCTCGCTATCCACATAAAAACTCTTCACAGCACTCAGTAACTTAACACCTATTCCATAAACTTGCAATATCTGTCACATTGCTTCCCTATCCACCCTGGGCCACCCTGCTTTGGGGCAAAGCAGGGTAGCCCAAAAAGAAAAACGTAAGTTTCTCTTTTTAATTTTAGTAATGTATACAGGAAAAGGGGTTACTAGCCCCTTGGTCCCGGCATGTTAGTCACCTCTTACGACACACATGGCTTATGGAGGAAGAATTCTGTTCCACTTCTACATGGCAATAAGAGAAAATAACAAGAACAAGTAAGAAAATAGAAGAAAATCCAGAGACGTGTGTATATATATACTTGTACATGCGAATGTAGTGTAACCTAAGTGAAAGTAGAAGTAGCAAGACGTACCTGAAATCTTGCATGTTTATGAGACAGAAAAAAATACACCAGCAATCCTACCACCTTGCAAAACAATTACAGACTTCCGTTTTACACTCACTTGGCAGGACGGTAGTACCTCCCTGGGTGGTTGCTGTCTACCAACTTACTACCTAGACCCTATCATATGCCTTTTCTAAATCCATAAATGCAACGAAAACTTCCTTATCTTTATCCAAATCTTTCAACAAACCGGCTGTATCCCACCAAGGCGGGGTGGCCCAAAAGGAAAAATGAAAGTTTCTCCTTTTAAATTTAGTAATACATACAGGAGAAGGGATTACTAGCCCCTTGCTCCCGGCATTTTAGTCGCCTCGTGCGACACACATGGTTTACAGAGGAAGAATTCTGTTCCACTTCCCCATGGAAATAAGAGGAAATAAACAACAACAAGAACTAGCAAGAAAACAGAAGAAAACCCAGAGGGGTATGTATACATATGTGTAGTGTGACCTAAGTCTAAGTAGAAGTAGCAAGACATACCTGAAATCTTGTACATTTCTTTTGTCTTTCAATGCACTGGTTGTATCCCACTGATGCAGGGTGGTCCAAAAAGAAAAATGAAAGTTTCTGTTTATAAATTTAGTAATGTATACAGGAGAAGGGGTTACTAGTCCCTTGGTCCTGGCATTTTAGTTGCCTCTTATGACACGCATTGCTTATGGAGGAAGAATTCTGTTGCACTTCCCAATGGAGATGAGAGGAAATAAATAAGAACAAGAACCAGTAAGAAAAAAGAAAACCCAAAGGGGCATGTGTATATATATGTTTGTACCTGCTTGTGTAGTGTGACCTAAGTGTAAGTAGAAGAAGCAAGATGTACCTGAAATCTTGCATGTATATGAGACAGAAAAAAAGACACCTGCAATCCTACCATCATGTAAAACAATTGCAGGCTTCTGTTTCACACTCACTTGGCAGGACAGTAGTACCTCCCTGGGCAGTTGCTGTCTACCAACTTACTACCTAGGCTTTATCTAAATACTGTCCATCTATATGCTTCAACATAAACACTTCAATAATAACTCTACCAAACACTTTACCTAGTATACTCCATAGGCTTATTCCCCTATAATTTCTACACTCTCTTTTGTCCCCTTTCCTTTGTATAAAGGAACTATGCACACTGTCTGCCAGTCCCTGTGTAATTTTGCCTCTTTCATACATTTATTGAACAAAAGTACCAACCACTCCAAAACTTTATCTCCACCTGCTTTTAACATTTCTGTCATGACCCCATTAATCCCAGCTGATTTACCCCCTTTCAATTTACAGCCTCTCCTCACATAACGACGGAGTTCCATTCCCAAGACCACGTTGTTAAACGAATTCATTGGTAAGTGAGGAGCATACTATAATGGTAGCGAGTTTGTGTCAACCATCTTTGATGTTGTTTTAATGTCACCTTCGCACCATTTATAATATTTCTGGTATATTTTTAAATGTTTATACAGTAGTGTACTGTATATTGAAATAAAAAGAATAGAGGAAATCAGCTCTAATATACATTATTTAGGAATGAATACTGGTCAGAGAGCCCATCATAACTCTGAGGCATCGGTAAACAAGTATGTCGATGAGTGACGAGAGGCTGTAATCAGCCTCATGCACCTCCACCACCCTCAAATCTGGCTCTTCTACAGCCTTATCCCCCCAATAATTCTTATATTTACCCTTGCTGCACACTAACAGTGCCTTTCAAGGCAGGTGAAATTGCTTACCTAGAAAATGTACAGAGAACCTTCTCATACAAGGGAACTATGCCTGCCCTCTGCCAACCCTTAGGAACTTTTGCCTACATTATGCTCTGCATAACCATGAGCTTTTCATATGTACTAACATATGTTACCCATTTTTATAACTTTGTACTTTGTGGAAACTTCTTATCATTATTATTGCTTGTGTAACCCCAAGAAAGATATATGTAAACACAGACAACTTCAAAGCCTCACAGTTTCAACATGTCAATTGAGACATTTGCTGGAAACAACAATTCCTTATAATTACTTACTTTAGAGTACTATAATTATAATGCGTGTGATGGCTGATACTGAGAAGATCCACCTTGAGGCCAACTGTTGAAAACACCATAGTATCTTCTCCTCCTTCACACTCACCCAAAGGCCAATACTGATGACATTTTATCTGAAACAGAACCATTTCCATATCAAACCATTTTTGCTCATAGATAAATAATAATTATATATATAATTTATCATAGAGGGTGTATAAATGAAGGGAGGAACAACTCTACCACGCAACATGAAATCGTGTTTCTAAATGCCAATATGGACTTCTTCCATATACAGTCGACCCTCAACTAATGGCGGCATTAAGTAACGGCAATTTCATCTAATGGCGCTTTTCGCAGTAAAAAAAATGCCTTAACCAACGGCAAAAAAAACTACCAACGACGTCCGTCTGGAACATGTCCATGTGCCCGGAGCGCAGCCTGAGGCGGTGGCCCAGCCACTCCACACTCAGTTGCACGTGTTAGCGTTGTGTGCTCCATATCATTTTGCTCCATTTTTTAGTGCTTTAACTGTTATTAAGGCCTTTTTTTTTTTTGTTTTATTATTTCTAGTACAAGCTGCTTACAAAGAGGGTGGATTGACGAAACGAAGAAGGAATCCAAAAATGAAAGTGGATTGCATATGCTAGCGGAAACAATTCAAACTCCACATTCACTTTTTTAGTGCTTCGAACAACAGCATTCAAAGCTGTTTAGGACACACAAGTATTTTTCAAAACGGCCAAATCCAAACCTGATTAAAGTGCAGGTTGTTATTTCTTTCAAGGACCAAGTACCGATATTGAATAAGGTTTCCCTGAATCTTCACTAAATATACCTGCAAACCAAAGATCGTCATCCCAATACCATTTCCATCACCTAACACGCCCGCACGCTTGCTAATCAAGCCTACCAATGCTCATTTAACCCCCTGCTGCACCTTTCGAGGACGACCCTTACCCGCCTTACCTTCCCTTTAATTTATTGGTTTCCATGTCATTCCCATTGATCAATAACTCTAAGGACAAACACTCAAAACGCTTCTCCCTTGACAATACTTTTATTAACTCGAAACCTCTAATTACCACCACCATGATTTTTCATAAATTCCCAAATTGCCCTTAGACGGAATACTCCGCTGCCTCAACGTCTGGTTGCAGCTGCATTACCACCCGTCACAGCTATAGAGTGATGTACTACTATACTTTCATACATTCCCTTCTGCCTCCAAGTACGTTTTTTGACTCCACATATCCTCACTGCACCACTCACTTTTTCCCTCATCAATTCTATGATTACCTCATCCTTCTAAATCATCCGCGACAGACCAAGTATATGAAAACATTCATTCCCATACCCTCCTCCCCATTTGATATGCCATTTGCATCTAAATCATTTGACGACCCTCATACCTTATTTTTTTTTCTATGTTCACTTTAAAACTTTCAAACCCTTTCACACTTCCCCCAAACTCATCCCCTAACCTTTGCAATTTTTCTTTGAATCCCCCAAAACAAGTATCATCAGCAAAAAGTAACTGTGTAAATTTTCCCATTTTGAATTTGATTCCCCATAATTTAATCCCACCCCTCTCCAAACAACCCTAGCATTTACTTCCTTTAAAAACCCCATCTATAAATATATTAAACAACCATGGTGACATTACACATCCCGTCTAAGACCTACTTTTACGGGAGTAGTCTCCCTCTCTTCTACACACCTAACCTGAGCCTCACTATCCTCATAAAAACTCTTTACAGCATTTAAAAAACTTACCACCTATTCCATATACTTGCAACATCTGCCACATTGCTCCTCTATCCACTCTATCATATGCCTTTTCTAAATCCATAAATGCAATAAAAACCTCCCTATCTTTATCTAAATACTGTTCACATATATGCTTCAATGTAAACACCTGATCTACACATCCCCTACCCACTCTAAACCTCCTTGCTCATCCGCAATCCTACATTCTGTCTTACCTTAATTCTTTCAATTATAACCCTACCTTTACACTTTTCCTGGTTACTCAGTAAGCTATTCCCTAATTTTTACAGTCTTTTTGTCCCCTTCCCTTTATATAAAGGGACTATACATGCTCTCTGCCAACCCTGGGTACCTTCCCTCTTTCAACATTTATTAAACAAAAGTCCCAAACCCACTCCAACACTATATCCCCCCTGCTTTTAACTTTCTGTCATGATCCCATCAGTTCCAGTGCTTTACCCCCTTTCATTTTACGTAATCCTCACGAAACTCCCCCACACTTACATTCTGCTCTTCTTCACTCCTAAAAGATGGTATACCCCCCTTGACCAGTGCATGAAATTACTGCCTCTGTTTCTTCCTTAAATTTAAAGTTCCTCAAAATATTCTCGCCATCTACCCAATACCTCCATCTCCCCATTTTACTAACCCCCCTACTCTGTTTTTAACTGACAAATCCATATTTTCCCTAGGCTTTCTTAACTTGTTTAACTCGCTCCAAAAATTTTTTTCTTTTTTTCATTTAAAAATTTCTTGACAGTGCCTCTCCCCACTCTATCATCTGCTCTCCTTTTGCACTCTCTCAACCACTCTCTTTACCTTTCTTTTACTCTCCATATACTCTGCTCTTCTTTATAACACTTCTGCTTTGTAAAAAACCTCTCATAGCTACCTTTTTCTCTTTTATCACACCCTTTACTTCATCATTCCACCAATCACTCCTTTTTCCCCTCCTGCCCCCACCCTCCTATAACCACAAAACTTCTGCCCCACATTCTAATACTGCTTTTTTAAAAACTATTCCAACCCTCTTCAACCCCCCACTATCATCTTTGCACTAGCCCACCTTTCTGCCAATAGTGCTTATATCTCACCCGAACTTCCTCCCCCCTTAGTTATACACTTTCACCTCCCTTTACTTGTTGTTGCACTTCCTCTTTTCCCATCTACCTCTTACTCTAACTGTAGCTCAACTAAATAATGATCCGATATATCAGTTGCCCTCTATAAACATGTACATCCCGGAGCCTACCCATCAAAACCCTTTTTTCCACCAATACATAATCTAATAACTACTTTCATTACGTGTACATCATACCTTGTATATTTATTTATCCTCTTTTTTATAAAATATGTATTACTTATTACCAAATTTCTTTCTACACAAAAGCTCAATTAAAGGCTCCCCATTTACATTTACCCCTGGCACCCCAAATTTACCTACTACTCCCTCCATAACATTTTTACCCACTTTAGCATTAAAATCCCCAACCACATTACTCTCACACTTGATTCAAAACTCCCCACGCATTCACTCAACATTTCCAAAATCTCTCCTCTCCTCTACCTTCTCTCTTCTCAGGTGCATCACGCTTATTATAACCCACTTTTCACTCCAATCTTTATTTTGCTCCACATAATCCTTGAATTAATACATTTATTTGTCCCTTTTTTTCCTGCCATAGCTTATCCTTCAAAATTATTGCTACTCCTTCTTTAGCTCTAACTCTATTTGAAACCCCTGACCTAATCCCATTTATTCCCCTCCACTGAAACTCTCCCACCCCTTCAGCTTTGTTTCACTTAAAGCCAGGACATCAGCTTTTTCTCATTCATAAACATCCACAATCATCTCTTTTTATCATCTGACAACATCCACGCACATTCAGACTTCCCACTTTGACAATTTTCTTCTTCTTATTCTTTTTAGTAATCTTTACGGGGAAAAGGGGTTACTAGCCCATTGTTCCCGGCATTTTAGTTGACTTTTACAACACGCATGGCTTACGGAGGAAAGATTCTTATTCCACTTCCCCATGGATATAAAAGGAAAATTAATAAGACCAAGAACTATTAAGATAAAATCAAAGAAAACTCAGATGAGTGTGTATAAATAAATGTGTACATGTATGTGTAGTGTGACCTAAGTGTAACCGCTAAATAAGCCATCATGGGCCCCAAGAAAGCTTCTAGTGCCAAGCCTGTTAAAAAGGGTGAGAATTACGATGGAACTGAAGGAGGAGATCACTGAAAATATGAGAGTGGAGTGCATATGGCTGAGCTGGAAAGCCAATTCAACAAATCACATTCAGCCATCACTACTATCTTGGCGAACAGACAGGCAATCAAGGAAGCTGTTGTGGCGAAAGGTTCAAGTATGTTTTCAAAACGGAGACCGCAAATAACTGAAGAGGTAGAGAGATTGTTAATGGTATGGTTAAATGAAAAACAATTATCCGGTGATAGTGTTTCTCAGTCTATAATTTGTGAAAAGGCAAAGAAGTTGCATGATGATCTCATTAAGAAAATGCCTCAAAATAGTGCTGATGGTGAATTTAAGGCCAGCAAAGGCTGGTTTGAGAGATTTAAGATTCGTAGAGGCATACACAGTGTGGTAAGGCATGGTGAGGCAGCCAGTTCAGACAAAAATGTGGCTGAAAAATATGTGAAGGACTTTAAAGAATACATAGAGACTGAAAACTTAAAACCCCAGCCACTGATTGTGATCATGAAAGTGTATATGCTGGGATGGAGGAAGAGGAGGAGGTAGTGGTGGGTGGCATGGTGCATGGCCCGCACAGTGTGGTGAGTACACAGACAAAGGACCCTGCAGCGCCCCCTCAACCATGTGCTGTCTCCACTCCCGTTCCTCCTCCTGCTCCCCCACACCCCATGCAACAGGTCCACCCTGTACCATGTGACCATGAGTGGAACTGGAGAAAGTATATTCATGCCACAGCCTTTTCATTCTGATGCCAGTGGAAGTGGCATCCTACTAGAATGTCCTATCTTGAAAGTCTACAGAGCTAGACTTTTTCCAGTTATACTTTGACGAGCCTATAATGAAACTGATTGTCACCCAGATGATCAGTTATAACCGCTATATCGTGGACAACACAGAGGTTGCAGAATCATCACCACTGCACAGGTGGGAAGATACAACTCTGGTTGAAATGTATTTATTCCTTGGCACTGTGATGCTTTTGCAACATACACAAACACAATACAGTGGACCCCCAGTATTCGATATTAATCCGTTCCTGAGAGCTCATCGAATAGAGAAAATATTGAAAAGCGAATCAATTTTCCCCATAAGAAATAATGGAAATCAAATTAATCCGTGCAAGACACCCAAAAGTATGAA